AGCATTAAACCGTAAGAAAGAAAGCAAAACAAGTAGATTGAGTGACGTAATATAATGAGTGGAATTCAACTAGAATGGAGTGACAGTCAGGTTCAACAATGGTGGTAATAAGTTGTGGAAATTCAATAAGGGGTTTGGGAAAAAGATACTACAACCAGGAACAAAAATTATGTATTCGGTGTTAAGACAGATCACATCCATTGTAGATTGATTGTCTGGACAAACTTCTTCTATACTCAGAGTTCAGGATTAAACATTTGAATTGCCATTGCTTCTCTGTTTTGAAGAAGTTTGATTCGTACTTATCTAATAAAACTCCCACATATTCTGTAGACAATTTTGAATTTTCTTTGTGGATTATAAGCTTGGTGTCCAGATTCCGACAAGCGTTCCAGGATAGAGGTGTGGCTGAGGATTCTTTTCCCTCCTCTATAAATCTATGAGGGTAATTGTTGTATGATACATTTGGATAGTAAAAACTTGGTACCCTTTATTACAACTGTGTTGTTAAACTTGACTATTATTCAATTCTAGTTGAATTCTACCCACTCCCGTCAATTATATTACGTCACTCAATTAACTTGGTTAGTTTTATTTTGATTTTTACCCTATTAATCCCTTTTATATTACATAATTTGTTATCCCCAAGTAATCCACAACGGGAAACTTACGGGACCCTTCGAAGTGAGGACAGGAGTAAGACAAGGCTGGCTGCCTACTATCGCCAATGATTTTCCTGATTGCAGTAGACTGGATAATGCGACAAACTGCTGGCAATGAGGAAACAGGCATAAAATGGACTCACAAAAAAAAGCTGGAGGATCTGGACTTCGCCGATGATATATTTCTGATTTCCCACAAACTGGAAGATATGCAAGTGAAAAGTAACAAGTTGGCAGAAGAAGCATCAAAGATAGGACTTCAGGTGAACATAGAGAAAACAGGGGTAATGAAGATTCCTGGACAAGAACAACAACAACAGACAATGATCAGCATAAATGGGAGGAACCTGAAAGAAACAACCTCCTTTGCCTACCTAACTGGGAAGTATCGTCTCAACTACAGGCAGGACTGACGAGGATATCAAAGCAAGAATCATGAAAGCAAGACAAGCTTTCACTACTCTCAAGTCTGTATGGTGGTTAACAGCACTCAGCATGAAAAATAAGATCCGTATTTTTAACTCCAATGTGAAGTCAGTTCTACTATACGGATTAGAGACATGGCGCGTCGTAGAGAGCATCTCGAGCAAACTACAGACCTTCATTAACAGTTGTCTTCGCTCAATACGCAAGATCAGATGGCCGGCCAGTGAAGATCAGCAACAGGGATCTCTGGGAGCGAACCAACCAGGAACCGATTGTGCAACAAATAGGCACGAAGAAATGGAGATGGATTGGTCATACTCTGAGGAAACCATCAAGTGACCACTAGACAAGCCCTTGAGTGGAAGCCGAAAGAGAAGCGGCGAGCTGGTTGTCAGTGCAAGGGTGACTTAGAGGAGGTCATTTGAAGAGGAGATGAAAAGTTGTGGGCAGACATGGAGCCAGGTGAAAACTCTAGCAGAGAAGTGAACGCAATGGAGACGCGCGGAATTAAAGGTAACACTAATAATAATATTATTATTATTATTATCATAATTTGTTATCAGAATAAAGAATCTAGGGAAAATTCTCGTTTCTACGATTTCACTTTAATACTTGTGCATTCATATGCATAAACGAATTACAATAGACAATAACTAGTAAAGGCAGTAACAATCAATTATCTTCAAGAGTCGGTTTGTGAGGATTAAGTTTGTTTTTACGAGTTTCACGACGGATTGATATCAGTTAGAGAATTCATGGAACATTGAATTGGGTCCCAGTGACTGAATGGTATTCGAGCCAGCTTGCCTTGTAACCGCAAGGTCCTGGGTTCGAACCCTGGCAATGGGTGCGTACTTCCGATGATTCCTAAACTAGGATGAAACAGCAGCTGTCCAGTACTCCCTGGTTTTCAGTGGTTCTCTAACTGATATCAATCTGTGGGCAAACTCGTGAAAACAAATCAGTTATCTTGTGTGTGTGTATGTGTGTTACAGTTTGACATTGAGTGGAAATACTAAAGTGCGATAATAATATTGGTGTACAGGATTTTGAGTCACATTTGAATTCATTAGATATATAATTGAATAACCAAATGTATAAATATAGTTCAACCCAAAGTTCAGTAGACGACAAGTGTGAAATAGATGATCGGAAAATGAAATACATTTGGAAATGTGAATATAATATGATGGAAACAACATAAGATGAGTGAAATGTTGTCAACACAGTAGACTAGACAAAATGTTAAAAATATGATAATATAAAGTGAGATGAAATAAAACAAAAATGGAACATGAAATAAAGAAGGATAACAAAGTTTTTATGCGAAGTACATAGTAAAATCAAGACCATGGATTGGTAACGAAAGAAATCCTGCAAATTGTTTTTGTACACAAAGATATGGCTTTATGTTACGTTATATATCGCCAAAACCTCTCCTATATAAAGCGAATGCACTCATGTCCCTTTCGGCATATTTTGTTGGACTTTGTTGACCATACTGAACTATGTGTCAGATGCTGCGTGGTCAGTACCTTCAATATGTTGTAACCTCTATGCTCCACTCCTTCGCTCAGCCGAACTGAAAGGTGCTCTCGAACGCGACGGCGGGATATGTTTCTCGACGAACGTCCAATGTACCTAGCTCCGCAAGAGCAAGTGAACGTATAAATACACATGGAATTAGACAATCGAGGTAACATGCCCTTGATATTAAGTTGCGCCAGTGGATGGCTGGAGTACGTTATTCGTAAATTGGCAGCAAACAGCGTTTTTCTCAATGATCGCATCAGACGATTTTTAAGTATCTCACTGGCATTGTCACCCCTAAATTTTAAGTTTAGGTGCAACATATTTTTAGCTACCTCATCAAACTTTGTATTTCTTCCATGTAATTTGCTATTAGTCTCTACGAAGCGTATATATATGTATTCAAATGAACTGTCGTCAAGATTTGACAGAATAGTTCTAAAATATTTGGGCGGCGAGTGAGAAGTAGACATTTGTAAACAACTATATTTGTAAAATCTCAGCGAGATTGATATGAGTAATTCCAACGTTTCGTTCGGCAATCTGGTCCGAACATCTTCAGAGAAATTGATCGAAATTAACACAACAGAGGTTTATATATAAAAGGAACATCACTTGTTTTAAAAAATTAAATTAAGAAAGAAACTGTGTAATTGGCACAATCATCGTGTTTTCACTCTCCGTTGTCTGCAACAGAATGCATATCTCAAATCCGTAGCTGTCGAGTCACCTGACAACTCCAGTAGGTCGAATAAAGCAGCTTAATCTTCAGAAAGAAGACAAAGCAATGAGTCCGACAGAGTGCTTACACTAAACTCTAATTCTAAACACCATAATTTTGAAAATACGTGTAATCATAAAATTCTAGATACTACCAGTTTGAACAGACATGAAGACGTGATGTTAGCTGATGCATAGGAAATCCTTATAAGTAAATAAAAAATGGATATGTATCACTGATTATTAATACTTGGTCAAAATTCTCGACTGTCCACATCTTCTTTTGGAGATGTTAAGAAATGTTTCACAACTGTTTACCCACACACATACATACACACTCTGTTTAAAGTGTTTAACAAAGTAGACCAATATTTGTAAGTCCGAGGTCAAATTTTGATCACAGCTCATAAAATTTTGCTTATTATACTTGTTGAATGACTCATGATTGGACAAAGTTTTTAAAAACAAGTGATTTTCCTTTTATATATAAACCTCTGTTGTGTTAATTTCGATTAATTTCCCTGAAGAAGTTCGGACCAGATTGCCGAACGAAACGTTGGAATTGTTCATTTCAATCTCGCTGAGATATTACAAATATAATTTTTCACATATATATATATATATATATATATATATATATATATAGTACAGCGTGAGAATTGTATCGCTGAAAAGAGTAACTCTTTTTGCTAAACACCTTTTCTTTTTTACATAACTCGATGGGGATTTTTAAATAACTTTCAGAAAGATGAACAGTAGATGAGTTTGCAAAACACAATGTCAATTTTTTATATGCCTTATCAAACAATATCGACTTTGATTACTGCACCGTGTTCATTACGCTTATTTTTTGTTTTTAATTTTTGTTTTTATGACTTTTTATTTTTATTTTTTATTATTAACATCGGGATCATGTTTTTATAATACAACCGTCTACTTAGTGCATGCATGTATGCTTGTGTGTTTGTTTGTACAGCATATCGACTGTGTATTTTATGGTAAGTATAAAAATAAATGCGTTTATGCGTATGTATATCCGCTCTCCTTATTTTCGTCAAACCCCGACTTGCCGTGTATACATGAGTCGGTTTGTACTCAATATTACATGTCGTCTGCGTGATATTAATCATGGAGATATATATATATATACATGTGTATATACATATATGTAGTAACAGACTACTGGACAAAATAATGTTCATGTAACACCGAAAAAAAAAGAAATAATAATTTCGACAAATTAAATTTTGTCAGTATCACACATAATCATCAGTCAGTATACACATACATACAACCACATGCATGTGTATCTGCATGTAGAGGCATACACACACGCATAAAGATCATCAATTGTCCGTTGTACAGATTATAAGTGTGTGTGTGTGTATGTGTGTATTATAACATGACAAATACAACAAGCAAAATTCACCTTTACATGTATTAATATGTGTCTGTATATCGCTCACTATGCATACGTATAAAGGTGTGTCCATTTGTGTTTGTGCATATGTCTATATTTAAATAAATCCTATTGACCAAACCGTATGAATGAATGAATGAATTGTGAATATGTATGAATGAAGTGAGTGAGTGAGTGAGCTCGTGTGAAAATGAGTGAGCAAGACACTCACTCACTCACATTTAATTTACTCTTCTCTCTCTCTCTAAACCATATTATTTTATAATCTGTTAAAAATGTTTTTCAAATACTACTTTTATTATCATTGTTATTATTATTGTTATTGTCATTTTTGTTAATCTTCGTCATCTTTCATTTCAACCACTGGCATCAACACCATCAGCCTCATCACCATCTTCATCATCAGCAATCGCCGCCCTCCTCCTCGTCGCCGTCGTTCTCTTCTTCTTCTCCTTCTGCTGGTCCTGGCTTTCACCTCCACGTCTGATTGATTGTCATTTCCAAGTAAACTGTCTATCCACAACAGTTTTTTTTAACAAGGGAAAAGCATTACTGTGATCAACTCTCCACATTTTGACAGTAGTGGTTACAAATATTTTAATTTGCATTAATTGATGATTAACTGAGAACCCAAGTGTACGCACACCACACACATACACACAAACAAATAGACATTTCACCCCCCATCTGTATTGATTTCTCGCATTCATTTGTCTAGGAATGATGACAAAACTGTTGAATAGCCTAAATGAACCATTACGTCATCATAAAATATCAGATCAAAGCGTTCTGACAGTTACATCGAATTATACAGAGTTAACAAAATTAAATACTACTAATAACAACAGCCTTGACACAACATCACCATCATCAACACTTATGACAACAGAGACGGTGAACAAAACATCGACTACCTCTACATCAATACTAGATGATACAAGCAGTGAAGATACTCATAATATGAATGGTAATCATATACTATTAGATACTTGTGATGAATGTATTCTATCGTCTTGTAATAGTTCAATTCTAATGGATGAACATGAAATGGATTCGAGTAATTCCCCATCTTGTTTACCACCGTCTTGTTCCTCATCCTCTTCCTTGTCCCCGTGTTCTTCTTCTTCTTCTTCGCCTGCTCTTCCTCCATCTTCTTCTTCTTCTTCCAGCTTGATAACAAGTACATGTGTTACCATGGCAAGTGATCAGAAAACAATTCACACTACCGAGAATAATATCGGTGAAGATATTTGTGATTCCAGTGAACATTGTACCAGTGATCAGCATAATCAACATTTGCCGCATGAAGATCCAGTTGACGGGGACACAAATATGCTGGATACACATCGTTCTATGCTGAATACCTCATCTATGCATGTTGATCATGATAAGCCAGCATTTAAAAAAGATAATCATCATGATAGTAGATGGAATATGAAAAATACAAAATTATTTGTTGGACAAATACCAAGAAGTATGCAAGAGAATGACTTGAGGCTGATATTTGAAGAATTCGGACCAATTTATGATTTGCTTATATTAAGAGATAAAATTACTGGAATGCATAAAGGTAAGTCACTACTATGAATAGTACTAATAAATATTATCAAGTATTACGTAATCACATTTATTCATCTACATTATTATCATTAATGTTATTGTTCCCTTGGGTTCCTAGTGGAACATAGGGCTTCAACTGCACGTCTCCACTTGCTTCTGTCTTCTGCTGTACTTTTTACTTGCATCCATGTTAGTCCATACTGTTTCAACCCCTCTACACACGATCTCCTCCATGTCACCTTTGCACTGACGTCCCACTCGCCGCTTCCCTTTCGGGTTCCACTCGAGCTATGGCCTGACGCGCTATGTCACCTAATATTCATCTACAAGCTGATATAAATCTATTTGTAATAGCTTGACTTCGTAACAGACATCCGCTCTGTCTCTCTCTCCCTTTTGCGTTCAAATCGGTACAGAGGGATTCAAGCATTGAGTTTTGAAGTCTTAATGACTGTGGTATTGATTTTTACAGGACAGAGTAGTTAACTCCTCCTCAGGCTACACCTTCGCTCTTTAGCACCACGCTTACCACTAGCTAGGTGAGGTTTAGGAGGAGTAAGTCGGCCTGGAATCGAACCCCAATCCCTTTCGGAGGGCTGAGGTGGAACTTGGCGAGGATTCTACCCATGCTTTACCTGAACTTTTGTCCTTACCAATACTCCTTAGTAAAATAAATATGTAGCTACACTCCAGACTTTTAAGAATTAATATTTCCGCCAAAAATTTCAATCACTTTGTGTCAATCAGTCTGTGAATTCGTGACAATGTTTGTTTTATTCTAAAGGGAATTGAGTACTATTCTTCAATCAAGTCTTTAAGCATTCACACACCGATCACTGTCTATTTTTTCTATCTTCAAAAGGAAAAGAAGAATTAAAATTGCATCTTTTAAAAATAATTTATTTTTTTCTTTTTTGTGATACAAATGAAACTAATTCATTTATTTTATTTTTAAGTTGGGCAAAATAATTCCCAATTGATGATTTAATCATGAGAATTGTTATCAGTCAATACTCCTTTCTGCGCTTTTGGTTGTTGTTGTTGTTGTGGTATGTGATCTTTTTGATTCTGTAATCAGTATTAGCAAGTGGGAACACGTACACACACACACAGTCATTCTCATTGGAGAGACGTAGTTCATTGGCTTTAAGAACTTGATATTCAGCTAGTATGTACCAGGTGCGAAACCCACATCCTCTATTTCAAATTCTCTTTGCAACTGAGCAGTACCATTAGGCCTCAGACAATAATTTTGTTGTTCGTATGCTGGAATATGAAAAATCTGTTCTAGAAGGATTAAGTTCCAAAACAACATGCAGTTAGTTATGTACCCCGATGATGAGTGCCAGGATGGACGAGATATATGTATACTGGAATCCACAGTTATACACCACTGGCCAGATACAGATTGGTGGTGTCATCTCCAGTGATGACATTGGCTAGTGATGGCACCATATCGTGAATTGATAGAAGTTGGAATTCATGGACTCATGTGAAAAATGGGCCAAATCCATTTTACCTAACTCACACCACGCTCTTCACTCAAAACTCTCCCCTTGCATCTCTTCAGATAAAACCAGAAGCCTATATAGAAAACCATATGCTCGCACCAGCAAGTACAAAAACTCAACCATACCCTACTTAGCTCGTGTTCTGTGTGATAAAGAAAGCATTAGGTGTGACACCTATAATTCATTAAATAGTCAGTAGTACAACTGGATCTCGTCTTTCCAACTCATATCACTTATAGGTACAACATTTTCTCTCTTTCTTTTACTTTTCTCTCTATCTCTTTTTTCCGTTATGTGCTGCTTTGTCTCTTTCTTTCGCTTACGCCAGTAAATATGACAGCTCCTACTTTTCTAATACCTTCAAACACTGTTCAGCTTTACCTTTGCTACCGACATGTCAATGTGTTGTTGTAATAATGAACTGAGATTTCCTTAATCTATGTAGAATTTTATTGATTGATAATGTACTAACTGGATGCAATACTGTAGTAAAAAATGCTGAGAATTCCATTCTGTATCACATGTACTGTTTTGGAATAAAGCAAATTATTATTATTATTATCGGCTGGCCAGTGGATCGGGTCCCAGTGGCCTAATGGTCTACGAGCTCGCTAGCCTTGTGATCCCAGGTTCGAACCCTGGCGGTGGGTGCGTACTGATAAAGATTCCCAAACTATGACAAAACGGCTGTTCAGTACTTATTGTTTTCCCAATGGTCCTCTAGCCACTGTCACTTCATGATGAAATCCAGAAACCAATCAAATCCCCTCAAACCAACACTTGAAAAGCGCAATTAATTGCTGGAATAATTTTTGATAACTATTCGTAAGCCAAAAGTATTACTAGAGTGGAATTAGTACGTGTTTCACTCGGTTTTATTTTATTGTTGGTTAACTGGGCCAAAATTTTCAGTCTCTGCTAACGAATAATAACTGTTATCTGTTGTACTAAAGGTTGCTTTGGTAGCTTAAGTGGTCCAGTGGATAGTGCTTTGGTGTTTGAAGTGGTGGGTGAGTGTCAGTGGGGACATCGTCACTCACTGGGGGTTGGAAGTACGTGAGGGTGACGAATGTCAAATGAGAGACGAAATGCGCACCTAAAAGTAATCTGATGAATGGTGACTAGCAGTAGGGGAATCCAATTCAATTCTCATCCATCGTTGAAGCGCTCATACTAGAAACTGTTAAGTCAACAGGGATCTTGTAACTTGAAGTTCCTGAGTTCAGTCCCTAGTGGGGTCACCAGTGCGCACTCCTGATGAATTCTAAAGTGGGGTGAAACATCTGTCGGTTACTTTCTGGTTTCCAGTGGTTATGATATCTATATTGAAATTGGTAGATCAGCTGACCAGTAGGTAATCTTATTTCCTTTGTGTAGTTGTGTCTCATTTGAGTAGTAGGTAACTAATTATACTAATATCTAATTTGAAATCAATATGTCCCGACTGAAAACTCCATTTAACGCTGTCACTCACAATGCTGACGTAATCCAACGTGTGAAGGTATACCTCATTTTTTTATATTCCGTATTACTCTTAGAAAAAAGCGCTTTCGTATATGTGTAAAACTTGGGCACTGTGGTAGTAAGTAATTCCATATTAGTTTGTTTATTAGATATATCACAAAATGAAACTGCATTATTATTTACTGGATGACGTTTCGAACACAATTTATTGTTCATAATCATATCAACTCCTTCCTTGTATGGAATTACTACTGATGATTTAGATTGCTTATTGTTGGTGTTGTCTTGCGCACATTTGACTTGCATGTCGTCATTAATATTATTATTATGGCGATACTACTAATAATAAAAATAATATTGATGACGACATGCAAGTCAAATGTGCGCAAGACAACACCAACAATAAGGAATCTAAATCATCAGTAGTAATTCCATACAAGGAAGGAACCTCGGAAGCCTTAAGCAGAATTCTTAACAAGGCAGGAATAAAAGTGGCTGGCATTCAAACCCCCCACAAACTCAATTAGAAACAAGCTTTGTCGGTTAAAGGATCCTGTGGAGCCAATTAGACAAAACATTTTAGTTTATCTGATACCCTGCAATGATTGTCAGGTCAAATAAATAGATCAAACTAGTAGAACAGGGGCAGTCAGACTAGCTGAACATAAAAACGTAGCAGAATCTAAATTGCTTGATCCATATAAGATAAGAAATCTAGAGAATAGTTCAGCTATAGCACTCACTACCTGCAATTACACACAACCATACAATAGGCTGGATGGGATAGGATGGCAGTTTTAAAATCTAATGTCACAGGGTATAGGGGGAGATTGATAACAGAAGCTTTGTTTATCGAATCAACTGCAAATACATGTAATAGGAATGATTCATCACTTGTCCCCGATATCTGAAAAATTCTACTACCCCTACGACAAATAGGTGAAAATAAAGAAAAACTATAAAACTCAAGTTCCAAAGTTGTGTGATTACAAGTGATATGATTAGGAACAATAAATTTTGTTCGAAACTTCGTTATCCAGTAAATAATACTGTTTCACTGTGTGATATATCTAATAAACAAACTAATATGGAAAATTGCTTTCGATTTAATTACATGTATTGATCAATACGTGTACGTTGGTGGTTCGGTGGTAGAATTCTCGGCAGCTACACAAGTAGGTCAGAGCTCAACGCCCAGACGACTGACTCCTAAACCTCATCTAGTCTACGAGGCGATAGTAGGCTAGGGAAAACAAGGATAGCTGGATGTCACGTTAAGAAACTCCTTCCCGTAAAAAACAAGAAGAACATTACTGAAATTTCAAAATGTCCCTGAAGCCCAATGTTCCATTGGGAACGCAAAGAAATAAAAAGAAAAGGGAAAATTCTTGATCCACACATTGAGAATTAAAAATGAAGATAATAAAAAAAACTCGGCATTATCAGCTTAAACAAAGATAGTGTGATGTGTGCTACTGATAAGATTTATAAGTACTATATGTATAAAAAGATGTTCATTGGCATAAAAACATCAAACAGCAGGGAGACAGATTTGATGTCAGAGAAATCAAATGACTCGGCGTTGCGGAGATACATGGGAGACGTGAATTGAATACAGAGAAACACAGAAAATATGAAGGGACGGCAGGAGTAGCACAGTGATTAGTACTCTCGCCGACCATTCACATGGTCTGGCGTTCGATCCCCTGCCGACGCACACCCGATATCTATGGTCGGCCTGCAAAACTTAGGCTACCGAAATCCATGCTGAAAATTTCATACTTGTACTGAAAATACGGTGTGTGGCATCAAGCTGTAATCAAAAAAATAAAAAATAAAAAAACACGGAAGATCTGTGCGAATGGTGAATTGAAGATAAGGTGTACATAATTCGGCTATATAGCGATAACAAGTCTTTCGTCGTCTACCGTTACAATAGGTTAAACATTGGTGCAGGTTGAATTTCGTTGCTTCGTTAAGAAAAGAGTTTAATTTCACTCTTGTCCATCATTACGACTCCTGAACCTCTCTGCGA